AATAATAACCAATTATTTATTGAGTGCTTACCATGCACTAAGCAGTCTTCTAAATATTAAATGTTTTAAGTATATTATTTAATCCTTAAAATAACACAAGGAGTAGGTTCTTATATAATTTGTATGAATGTAAAGGTGTCATGAGACCAAAAAATTTGAAAAACTGTTAGTGCCATGTGGTAGGATTTCCATACAGTGTTTAAAGAGTAGCTGAGGTCAGATACCAATCTGCAAGGATGTGTGGACCTTCTACAGCAAACTGGGTATAGGACTAAGAAACTAGGTAGTTAGATATATGGTTAGGGCTTTTCAGGTTAATTAATGGTTAGAAATAAGAGAGCAAGGAGATAAAAGGTTTTGGTCAAAAGATGAAATGATCCACAATGGAATTTTAGCTGGAAAGGAAGGAAAGTGAGTCCAAGAGCATTCTGCATTGGTTTTAGAGAAAAGGAAAGAAGACTTCAAACACTAGGTCATAATAAGGTTAGCTAGTCTGTGGAGAGAGAAGGCGGGGAGGATAAGGAAATAGATAAGCTGTTTGGTTAAACCGTAGAGAAGTAAGTGGTGTAGTGTTCATTTTACAGGTCAGCATCCATTTTACAGGCCAGGAAACAAGCTCAGTGACTCATCTGACTTGCCCAGGAGTGGCAGAACTAATATTTGCCTTCAGGTCTTAAAATGCTGAGTCTAGTCCTCTTTCTACTATACATGATAGAGTCAGCTAAGTTTTTTGTTTTCTAAACATGAAATAGTAGTATATGGATGCAAATTGAAAGTATTTTTATATAAGATTCTTAAAAGACAATACTTTTAAAATAAATAACATTTTAACTTCTTTGATCTAATACAGATTTCTAAAATATTGGAAGAATTTGATGTTGAAGAACAATCAAGTACCGTGTTAGAAAATCGCTTTCCCAACATTAAGGTTATAGAATCTGGAGTAAAGCAACTGAAGAGTGAAGAACACGTAAGATAATATTCTTCCTACTGACATTTTCTGTTGTTAAATCTTGGTGAGGTTTTGCCTGCCTTCTTTTGATCCCACCTTTACTACCACCACCATTTAAGTCCCTAACATATAAAGTTTTGACATTTCAGATTACATTAATATTTGTAAGTGTCCACTGTATTCTGGGTACTGCACTGATGCTGGGATACAGTAGGAATAATACAAGTTGCCTGCCCCTAGGAGCTGTGAGTGTCATAGAGAATGCAGACATGCATGCTATAATTATATGGACATGTGAGATGCACAGTCACTAAAATATTATCAAAATATTATCAAAGCTCTGATATTAGTGATTTAGGAGGACTTCACAGAGGAAGTAACATATTTGAGTTGGGGTTTACAAGATAAGTGAATTAAGAGTTCTCCAGGTAGAAAAGGGCATTCTAGGAAGAGGAGACTGAATGTTCAAAGATCCAAAGAAAAGAAAAGGGGTATGAGGAATAATGAGGATGTCAAAGAGATTGGGATGTGAATAAGTAAAGGACATTGGCAAACAAGGCTAGAGAAATAAGTAAATAAGATTCTAAAAGGTTTTTATGTCATGCTATGAAGTTGAATATATTTTATATTCAGGAGAAATTGTAAAGCGATTGTAAGTGGAGGGGCAGCGATGATAAAATAGGGTTTTGTTTTTTTTTTTTAGGAAGCTATATCTGACAGCAATGTTGAGGATGAACTGAGGTAGAGCAAGTGGCTAGTAGCCAACAACCAATTAGGAGGTGTTTGCAATAATCTCAAATGATGTAAGGCCTAAACTAAGACAGGGACAATGTAGTTGGAAAGAATATCCCAGATTTGTGTGAGATTTCTACTGTAGACTCAGCAGGACTCAGTAACCCCTTGCACGTGAGAAAGAATAAGGCAGTCTCAGGAAAATATGCTGTCAGATGATTTACAATATCCTTAAATGAGCTTTAGGCAAGATGGGAAGTAGGGTTTGTATTTGCTTCTGTA